TCGTCAGATCCCAATGGATGTGATCAACAAAATAACAGCCATGACCCCACCAACTAGCAAAAATGAAACACAAGCTTTCTTGGGCGTTGTGGGGTTTTGGAGAATGCATATTCCGAATTACAGTCAGATTGTAAGCCCTCTAAAGTGACCCGGAGGAAGAACAATTTAAAATGGGGCCCTGAGCAACGACAAGCCTTTGAACAAATTAAACAGGAGATAGTTCATGCAGTTAGCCCCTGGGCCAGTCCGGGCAGGGCAGGACGTATTTTTTTCAGCCGGGGAGAATGGCCCTACCTGGAGCCTCTGGCAGAAAGCACCAGGGGAGACTCGAGGTCGACCCCTAGGGTTTTGGAGTCGGGGATACAGAGGATCCGAAGCCCGCTATACTCCAACTGAGAAGGAGATACTGGCAGCATATGAAGGGGTTCGAGCTGCTTTGGAAGTGGTTGGTACTGAAGCACAGCTCCTGCTGGCACCCCGACTGCCGGTGTTGGGCTGGATGTTCAAAGGGAAGGGTCCCCTCTACACATCATGCAACTGATGCTACATGGAGTAAGTGGGTTGCACTGATCACACAACGGGCTCGAATAGGAAACCCCAGTCACCCAGGAATCTTGGAAGTGATCATGGACTGGCCAGAAGGCAAAGATTTTGGAATATCACCAGAGGAGGAGGTGACACGTGCTGAGGAGGCCCCACTGTATAATAAGCTATCAGAAAATGAAAAGCAATATGCCCTGTTCACAGATGGGTCCTGTCGTCCTGTGGGAAAGCATTGGAGGTGGAAAGCTGCTGTATGGAGTGCTATATGACAAGTTGTAGAAAGTGCTGAAGAAGTTGAATCGAGGCAATTTGCAGAAGCGAAGGCCATCCAGCTGGCTTTAGATATTGCTGACCGAGAAAAGTGGGCAGTATTTTATCTCTATATTGACTTATGGATGGTGGCAAATTTTTAAATTTTTGGATTTATGTGAATTATTTGCCTTTGCCCGACTCATCTATTTAGTACCTTTGCTAATGATGGGGACTTCTTTCTGCTTGAAATAGGGCAATTTCAGTTCTACTGACTTGATTTGCAGTTGGTCTCCCTGCCCTCAGTATTAAACTTAAGACTGGGTTATGGGTGATCTGCAGAAGCCCTTTACTAAAAGGAACAAATGATGGAACAAGGTGGAATTAACTGACTAATTATAATTTGTTCCTGCAGTGGCATACGTTTTGCTGTTTAGCTAATGAGCTTAAGCAAAAATAAATAGTTTCAAGTTGTAACAAAAAAATAAAACAAAAATAATTGCTCTCTTTAGAAACTGACTTTAAGTCTTTTAAAATTCATTAGGAGAATGTGTTACTAGTGTAAAGTATTTTTTTGCATGTATATAATATACATATAAATTAATGCAGAGAATTAAATATACAGAGTATTATGTATTCTTAAATAAATGTAGAAATGCAGGTATTGGGCAATTATGAGAGAGGGAAGACAAAGGAAATAATAGTATAGATAAGACTTCTTGAAAGAAATATTTTTTTTTGAGGAATTAATTATGGGTCATAATATGTGCATACAGGCCAGAATTTTGTGTACCCTTCACAAGGTGGGCTTATGCTTTTGATCTGAAGTCTCAAAGATGTCACAAAGGGAACGAGAGAATGGTTGTGTGGAGAGCATTAGTAAGAGCTGGTGGGCTGTGACACAGAGACTGAGGCTGCAGGAGTGCTTGTTATGGTTCAGAGACCCTTCAGAGAGCCGCGAGAACAAGCTTAAGATGTCTTGTAAAGAACTGTTTGCTTATTCCGTCCTTCAGTGCACAGTTTGGAGGAGTTGAGAGATACCTGCATTATATATGTATATATATATGCATACATACATACATATATATAATATGGCAAAGAGACCTGTTTCAAGAAGCCTACCCAGTCTGTTGATCTCAGACACTAAAAAAACCCCAACCCAAACCTGTGCAGATCAGGCAAAATCCCAGCAGAACTATCCATTGTTGATTCCTACTGTAGTGGAAGTTCACCAAATTATTTTCTCCAATGTGTTAGCTTCTCTGCTTTTTCCAGCTGCCTCTGACAGCTGCTAGATGAGGACTCCTGCCTGAAGACTGAGAAGAATAGAATAAACTTCTCAGTTTCTCTCAGGGATACTATCACTGAAAAGAAAGGGTATTTCTAAAAATACACAACAGTATATTTTATTCTTTAGCCTGCAAACTAATGCTGAGTTTTGGATCCTGGAAAGTGCATCTGTGCTGTAACTTTTTGACAGTTTTTTTTTCCCCTGTAGATTCCATGCATGTGTTTTCCCCCACTCCACTGAAGGTATGAAATATAAGGTGCAATTTGCAGGAAAATTGCTGTTGCACTTTGAAGACTTGATTTGATTATGTTTCTATTCTTCCTCCAAAAATCAAAAAGGTAGTAAAATAACTTCTGAAAGATAGGAATTGAAATAAATTGAAAGACAGCAGAGACAGTTACAAGGCATTCAGTAGAACTTGGAGCTGACTGTCAGAATAGATCTGTTTTAAGCATGAGTAGCAGTTCCATTAAAAATTCTATTTATTTTTACATTTCAGTTTTTCTCCTTAGATTTCACTCAGGGGTGAATCTATATTAAACATTTTAAACATTGGGGCTCTGCTCTTGACAGAAATACATAGTGAAATTTTGTAGATATGGTTGCTTATTTGTAATGAGTTAACCCTGTACATTTCTCTTTCATCCTCATCATTATTACATAATGAGTTTGAGAAGGAAGTGATAGTGACCAGTCAGTGGAGAGAAACATAATTGTAATCTCAGAATATTCAGGAATGCTAAAAAGGAAGGTTAGGAGTGGCTGTAACAACACTCCTACAGATGTCGTATTAGTTGGCATAATGCATGCCTGTGCTGAGTACATATGGAATTTTAGTTGACAGGTAATTAATCTTTATTTTTTATATTGTCACAAGAGCAATTTCAGAGGCTTGGGAGGGGAAAGTACTAGTGCTGCCAGTATCAGCTGTCAAATGTATCATTACTCAAGTTGGGAAGTCAGGTTGCAAGCCAATTCTAGCTTGCTGGCTCACATTCATGAGCAAGGAACAGGGAAAAAGAGGTCTGTCAAATGAAGGGTGAACTTCATAGAAATTGGGAGGGCTCAGAGGCAGTTTGTCTTGCATTGTCCAAAAAATTTTCCTTTTCTAGTAAGTTTCCTTATTTTTTCAGGGAACTATTACTCTGTTTAGATATGCTCTTTCATATAATGACACTACTTCTGTGTAATATTTGCTAGAACAGTTGTGTAGGTGGGTTCTTGATTTTGATTCTCTCTCGAATTACCATTGTATTCTGTATTATATTTTTGTTATTCAAATAACTGTCTTGTTCTGTGAACACTGGGATATACGTTTATTGATGAAGACCCAAAAATATTATATTAACAGATATTCTGAAATATCTGTACTTCTTCAGATCATTGAAGTTGGATTATGTGAAGTCTTCGAACTGATAAAGGAGACGAGATTTTCTCATCCATCCTTGTGTCTCAGGAGCCTACAAGCCCTACTTAATGTGCTCCAGGGCCAGCAACCAGAAGGCCTGCAATCAGAGCCTCCTGAAGTCCTAGGTAATATCTCATCTGTTACTGTATTTGTATTAATATACATCTGTTATTGTATTGGACGGAAGAAAAGGGTTCTTAGCAAGTATTTGTGAGGTACTAACATGCTTGTTCTCAACAGACTGAGTTTATTCTGTAGTGTAAACTCCTTATGCTATATGTAACCAGTACTTTCTCAGCATTAATCTTTTGTAGAACAGGAATGTTGGCATGTAAAGGTGCGTATATATAAAAAAAAAGTCATATTTTGTTGTGTAATGCACTTTCACTGAAACATAGTAAACCTTACAAATTGTTATTCATTTGTCTTACTGAACCTATAAAATATTTGGTCTTATTGGAAGGAAGATGGTTCTACGGTGAACTTCTGCGATCTGCTGTTGTAATCTATAGCTTAGCTATTTAATGTTGTGATTTATATAAAGCTGCTAAATGAAATGTCAGAATTCTTGCTTTTATTTCCCCTGGCCATCCAAAAGTTTCCCTGAAAATTAATTTTGTTTTTAATGATATTGCAAATAGAAGTTGAACTCCTGATGGCTTTGAATGTATGATTGATTATGTCCTTTAAGTTAATATCCAGTTATCTTTTGTTAATTCATAGTTTTGATGGGTTTATAGAACTGCAAGGAAGGCTAGACTGTAGCACTGTTGTTTAAAAATAAATAGAAAATCTTAATATTTTCTATGTATATTTTCCTGTGTTATTCTTGGTATTCTATTTCCAAAGATGATAGTAATTTGCTACAGAAACGTTTTCTTTTGTATTGATGCACAGAGTATTAAAAAGCTACAAAGAAGGCTTTGTTTTGATTAGTGCCTTAGTGATTATTTTTATATACTCTCAAAAAAATTGAGGTGGATTTCTGTTTACACCTTGATTGTTACAGATGTTCAGCCACTAAATGGTGCTTGAAAAGAAACATATGATCAAAATAATTTTCAAGCTTTGATTTGAAATGCTTGTTTTTGAGAAATGGGATGTGCTTCAACATGGGTAATGGTCATAAAGATTAGACAAGGTTGGTCAAGACCGACACATCATCTCAGTGATGAGGTAGACTGAATAGGCAGGTGAAGTAACTCCTTCTGGACCATTTCTTATTAATGTGTTCCACTGTAACAGAAGGGCTTAGTTTTTCTTGTTCTCCAGCCATTGTGATTATCAAGACTCGATGTTTTCTGGCTGAAAAAGAATTAAAAAGTAAGGATGTTGTAGGCCTATTTAAGTGGGATGCTTTCTTTTCTGCCTGGAAATAGGGCTAAACTTAATAACTGAGGAAAGATGTATCATGTATTTTGTAAGTTTAATTTTCCATTGACTGGCAAATTGCTTGGTATGATTTTGTGACTTGTCTACGTAATTGCTGTGTTCTATCTGCAGAATCCCTGTTCCAGCTTCTTCTGGAGATAACTGTCCGTAGCACGGGAATGAATGACAGTACAGGACAGTCCTTGACAGCACTTTCCTGCGCTTGCCTCTTCAGTTTGGTAGCTGCATGGGGAGAGACAGGAAGAACGTTGCAAGCAATCTCTGCTATCCTCACCAATAATGGCAGCCATGCTTGTCAGACTATTCAGGTCCTGCACTAAAACTTTTCTGTATCTGGGAATTTATGTAGATGACGTGTACATGAGTTCTGATCTCATCAGATCTATGTATAAATTCAGTTAACTTTTTTCCCTCACTGTTTTTGAGTTGTGTAGGTATTTCTTTGTCTCTCTTGGGTTGGAGATAGAACAGAAAATAGAATATTTAAAAAAATAGTCATGTTTTTCACTCACTTGCTATTTATTTTACTGTTTAGGTGCCAACCATTTTAAACTCTCTTCAGCGGAGTGTACAGGCAGTTCTGGTTGGCAAAATCCAAATCCAGGACTGGTTCAGTAATGGGATAAAGAAGGCAGCCTTGATGCACAAATGGCCGTTGAAAGAAGTATCTGTTGATGAAGATGACCAGTGCCTACTTCAGAGCGATGGTTTTTTCCTCTATCTCTTATGTAAAGATGGACTTTACAAAATTGGCTCTGGATATAGCGGGACAGTGAGGGTAATGTGATTTCTTCTTGTCTGATGAGATAGTTAATATTTTAACTTAACTTTTATGATGTCCTGTTTCCATTGAGAATCTTTTGAAGCTTGCTAATGATCAGTTCTTTTACAGTTTTTCTAAATTTTTCTGATTATGTCTATAAGAAAGTTTACAGCGTTTTCATACAATTTTCACTTCTCAATATGGTTGAGGACATTGTTATTTAGATGGTAAATGATTATGTGTAAAGTTATCACTCTGATACTTGTTAAAAGATTGGAGTTTTTTGTTTTTCAGGGCCATATATACAATTCTACATCCCGCATCAAAAGCAGAAAGGAAAAAAAGTCTTGGTTAGGCTATGCTCAGGTAGGTGAATAACTAAAACATAAAATGTGCGCCCCATCCCTCATGAGTCATTTAAATAGACTTTGGCTTAGAGTAAGTTTACACAGATATTGTATTGTTTCTTTGGCTTTAGTTATAAAAAACAGTTTTTTGGTACTGACTTATTAAATTGTGGAAGATAAGCAACATCTGATGGTACTGCCATATAGAAAGGAGTAATGAAAAGTGTAATTGATTTACAGTGACAACGCAAAGGCTTTCTGAAAATATGATGGTTTAACACTTGACTGTACAATTCATAAATTTAACTGATGTGCGCTTCTTAAATAATGAAGTCGGATGTAAAAGTGTGCTGTTGCAACAAAATAGTGTAAAAAAAAAAAACTTCGAAATATCTATTTATGAAAACAAAATGATTTTAAAACATTTGAAGTAAAATAAGGAAGTGCTGTTATGGTTGCGGGAGGATTGAGGGTGTGTAGAGTAGAGATAATTGTTGACTTTACCAGGGCAGAGTTAGCTATATTTGGATGTTCTGGGTTTTTTTTAGTTAGTCAGTTTCTGGAATATCAACCACCTTTTCTTATACCTTTGCCATTTATTATAAAAATAGTGGGGTTTTTTAGAATTCTTTTATTACCATTACCACTGAGTGTGCTCTCTCTCAAAACAACCAACCAACCAACCCACAATCC